CGGGGTGCGTGCGGGGCGCCGCCTCGGCTCTGGGAACGGGTGTTCTTTGCCGTACGTAGCTGCTTTACCGCATGCGATCACCTTTGTCTATCCAGGTATCTAGTATTTTTCATCGCAGGCATGCTTGGTCAGAAGGGCCGTGCAAAGGACCTGATGATTCGGAGGGTAACCTGTTTAATTAGATAAACTAGATTGTTTTTCAATACGCTGTTTCTCCAGCAGTCAAGGTTAAAATCCGGTGGTCAAATAGTCTAATATAATGTGTTGATGAAAAGAAGGGCCACAGAGCTAGCTAGGGGGAACTAATGCATGCCTCGCAGCTACTTGGCTTTCTAAGTCTGTTTTTTGAACCGTAAACCTTCTTGGAAAGGGCTGGCGTGGTATTTAGATGGCACTATGCATGATGTTTGTGCTTGGGGGCTTATGTTATATGTTCTTGGCAGTCTTTTAGTGAGCTGGGTAGGAAACGAAACTGATCGTCATGCCAGCGTACGGTGTTTCTGATAAAAGCAGAAGTGCTGTAGTTACTTAAGACCTTTCTGAATCAGTGGCAATGTGTCTACTGACATGCATCAGGGTGAGGGAGATGCAGCTGTGTAATGCAGTTCTGAAAATGAGAAAGTGACTGGAAAGAAACACGGACATTCTGCCATTCCTTAAAAAGGAACAATCTCGGGATGTTACTTCCTTACTGTTCTCTGACCTAGAACAGCTTTGTTCTGACTTCCTTTGTAACCGGTATTTCCTGGGTTTCCTTTCCAAAAGTTTTTGGCCGGCTTTAAGTGCCTGGGCTCAGAACTCCTGGAGGGGCAAAAGCACTGTGCCTGGGCACCTGGATGGATGCCTCTGAGGGTTTCTTCCCTGTTACCCATCTGAGTAACGATTCAAGAAACTAAGGAGAAAGTGAGGAACCGTTCAGGTGTGCTGGTGCTGGCTGAGAGGGTTTAGGCTGTCGCAGCAGCTGCGTCCGAGAGCAAAGGGAAAAAGTCTGGGAACTCCCTACGGATGAGGAGGAAGGCTGGCAATATGGGTTTTGATAGTACAACATACAGGGACAGGGTATGAAGAATGAGACTTCTTGCTATGAGTTCCTTCCTCTCGTGAGCAGTACAGCAAAAGAGCTGCGGGGGTCTGCCGCCAGCTTGCTAACCCGCGGCTGAACGGCCGCTCGTGGCGGTCGGAGGACTGTTCCGTGTGCGTGCGTGTGCGAGAGCACTTCTTGCGTTTTTCATTTGCCCTCTGCGTCGCGGCGGTTGAGGTTGGAAGCCACGCTGCGGGGTTCAAGTTGCGTGTTTCTGGAGGGGCAGCGGGCAGCGCCCGCCTCGCCCACTCCCAGCGCGCAGGCGCGGCGCGGGGACATCACAGAATCATAGAATGCTTTGGGTTGGAAGGGACCTTGAGAGATCATCGAGCCCAACCCCCCTGCAGTGAGCAGGGACTGAACCTGTGAACTTGGCGTTACTAGCACCGTGTATCTAACCAACTGAGCTAACCCGGCTGGTCCTCAGATGAGCCGCAGGCCGTATTTCATAAGGGTCTTTCATTACCAGGCAGCCACTTTGCATGAAGCGTTCCCAGTTGCCCTGGTGCTTCCTCTCTGCCAGCAAAATAGCTTCTCTTGTCCCTTGTGTAAAGCTGAACCCAGGTAGGTTATGTTCCCTCCTCCAGGGAAGAGGTTATGTTCCCTCCTCTGTCCTCCCTTTGGGAGAGCGGACCCAGAGCTATGAGTTACGGGAATCTGTCAGGAAAGGGCAAAATTTGGTGGCTTTTCCTGGCACAGGCTCCCTCGGGTAGCCCTAACCCAAAATAGCCCCAGTGAGGGGTGAGGTGCTGGGAGCTGGAGCTTGGTTCCCACCTTCCCCTCGCCCTTCAGCACTCCAGCTGGGGGATTTGGGGGAATGTTTCATCAACAAATACCTCAGGAAACGTAATAAAATGTGGACAATCCTTAATAATCCTCGCATAATTTAGGTTGGAAAGGGTAACCTTTGGAGGTCACTTGGTCCCTTCGTCTGCTTAAAGCCAGCCTAAATTCAAATTTAGATCAGACTGCTCAGGGCCTTGTAAAGCTTTTTACAAGATGTACGCAAAGGTATACAGCTGCTTCTTCTGGAACACCACGGCCAGCTTATTCATTCCGACGCAATTTACTCTCGATTTATGTTGTGAATTCAGGTTGTAGCGTGTGGCCAGCGCAGCACAAGGTATTCATGCAGCCGCTGTTTTTGTGGAAACAAACTTAATTCAGTAATGGACTACTACTTGCTGAAGCACTTTCTTTCTTTTTTTCTTTAATTCTGTGGAATTTGAACTCCATTAAAAAGAAATAGCATTCTCCCTCTTTTGTATTAGTGGGAGCTGAATGCAAAGACCTTTACTTTTCCCTGCTAAGTAATGTTTTAATGATTGCTCCCTATATTTATTTTAAAACTGTTACTAGAACTACTAACACCTAGCAGCATGTAAAGCCTCATGTTATTAAACTGAAATTAAAATGTAGGCTTCAAATCATTGCTTTGTGTAACCCAGGCAGCTGGAACCAACACGTTTCGAAGTGACTGGTCTTCCCATTACTACTGTTTCTTGACTGAGGTTTCACAAGATGGCAATTTCCCCATGCGTGACAACATGGCGGAACAATGTATTGTGCAATATGAAGGTTGACAAAAGTCAGATTTTGTTCCTTGTTCCTTTCGTATTTCAGAATTTCATGTTATTTCACAATCTTTACAAATTACTCAGATGAAAAGCAAGGCATGACAGACAACGTGTTAATCTTGGTGACTGAATTGGAGGCGGTAGAAGCAGTCTAGATAAAAAGCAATAGAAGAGACAATTTTAATAAAAGAAATAATCCTAACTATTGTCTTTATCATCGTGTCTGATGAAATGGGAGTTGAACTTTGTAAAATCTTTGCTGCTTTTCTAGCTATAGAGCATATCAACATTTTCGAAATCCTAGATTGCAAAGGGGTGTACATGTGTGGTTGTAGGGAGAAGAAAGATTCTGGGCTACTATAAACCCTTTCTTTCAAATAAATCGTATGAGTCTGTCTCTACTCGCCCTTTACCAAAAGGTTCAGTTGTAATTCTCAGTATTTCACTGAAGTTTAGGTAGCTGGAACATCTCACAGTATAAACTGATCTTTTGCTAGTTTAAATAGTGGTTTTTTATTCATCTTTAATTTGTGCTATTCCTACAAGCTGGTAGTTTTATCAACATATTTTAACATGGTCATACATTGAACTTGTCACTCTGTATTATCAACTGCGAGAACAAGGTTTAAGTTACGTAGTTTGAATGTGTTCTTTCAATTTTTTAAATCAGATGTATAATTTTAAATTATTTCCTATTACTTTTTTTTAACCTGTGTTCATATGGGGACCAGAATCCGATTAAAGTACTTAAAACAGGATGGTGGCTTTGTTAGTAAAGTTGAAGAAAAAATATATTAAAAAATATTTGTTATTGCATTTGTTCTGTCATCCCAGAACAATTAAACATCCTCCTGTGACATCTGCTTTTACTCTGGCAGCAAAAAGCAGGAAGGAACTGCTTTCAGTTTCAATTTCATTCCCAGCTTTGAACTGAACTGAACTGAACTAGTTGGAAGAACCATAACAGACAAAACATATTACTAGTTTAACTTGAACTGCATTCTTTTGAAAGAATGACTAGGTTTATTGTTTATTTTAAAGCTTTTGATCCTATAAAAAGGAGCTCCTCTACCGTTCTTTTTTATACTTCCACTTACGGGTCTCCTGGCTATTTTGGACCTCTGTCTTTAATAGAAGTTGCTGCCATTGTCTTGCTTCTCCTGTTACCCCAGAGACTGAACGGAGTATCTCTCAAGGTAAATGTTGTTTCTGGGGGTTTTTTAACTCCTTTTGGCAACCGTGGAAGAGTAGAAAGAAAAAGACAAGCAGTTGGGCCTTTCACTCATGATATTCTGCTGTGAAGCCCACTCGTCTGTGCAAGCCCACCCTTTATTATTGTATGGAGACAAAAATTGGATACATGATATTTAGTAGTACCACTGCAGAAGTGGAATAGCATAAAGAACTGAATAGGTGGTAGCATGGCGTCATGGCTGCTCCAGGATTTACCCAAGCAGGTTTAGTAGTCAACATCAATACACTAAACCAGTTACTCTGAAAATACTGCAGTAATTTGTTCATATGAATTGCATGATGTTTCTGAATGGCTGCACAATGGAGTCGTGCATGGTAATGAAGTAACTGCACATCCCAATGCTTTCCTCTGAGTTGAGGATGGTTTCAGGATACTCAAAGCGTGAATGCAGGCATAGATAATTCAGACTTATGCTGTGGTGGACACATAGCCTAGATGGAAGCTGAGATATTTAAAGTTATTTTAGCTTGTATTTGTAATTCAGCTTTCCCATACGGTTTAGACAGGCAAGTATCTTTTATCAATAATAAATAGAGAACTCTAAATAACTCTTGTGTGAAATTATATATTAAAAAAACGTGAAATAAAAATGTTGTTTTGCAGAGCAATTATAAGCAGATCCACAGCAATGCAAGGTGAGTAAAATATAAATAAAATGTCAGTTTTTGTTAATATCAAAGATAACATGGGTCCTTCCGAGGTGTTCAAGCAATATTAGCTTAACTATTAGCTTATCTTGTAATTTTATGAAATATGTATGAATGTTTTAAATTGCAATTATTAAAATTTTAAAATTGAAACATTTACAAAACATATAGCTTACATTTTCAGATCTTGATTTCTGAAGTTAAATAAATAAATAATCTTGAAATCCAAGTTATTTCTGCTTACAAACGGAACTTGGTAAATGTTTTTAAATCCATAACCCTCTGAGTCTGCTGGTGAGGCATTCATATAGTCCTAACTTGAAGAAATTGGGAGAAAATATTTTGTATAGTGGAGAATGGCTCATTACCATTCTGTTCTGTACAGGAGGGCAGCCTATCAGTTCCCTGGCAATTCTTTGAATTAAAGCCTCCTTCTAAATATAAATGAATAAAGGCACCTCTGGTCCAGGCAGAGAGTGAACTGACCCTGTTTGAGCAGGGGTTGGACTAGATGATCTCAAGAGGTCTCTTCCGAGCTAAATGATTCTGTGATTCTGTGACATCTTCATGACATCATGTGCAACACCTGTCTTTTTTCTGCACATTAAGGATCAGAACTCAAAGCTTTAAGTTATACTGATGTTTAATATACACATTGTGCATAAATATGAGCTTGTTATACAGTTTTTGCTACACATTAAAGCAGCTGATTAATTTTGTTTTGTGTCTCTTCCGGAAAAGGAGGCAGTGTTGGGGATCTTTCACGCTAGGGTAGGAGGAAACAAGCAATACTCAGAACGTATGTTCTCTTCTTCCAGCACATAAACCTGCACCAGCACCTGGATTTTCAGACGTTAACTATGCACCAGGAGATCACGTCCCCTACGGCTACCCTCCGCACGCACCTGGGACTTACCAAGGTAGGTTGCTTGGCTACAGCTCTACTATACCCTTAGGAAATAAGCACGTGAAACAGGAGGGTTCACAAGGGAGACCATCTCTGATTTACTTTTCTGCTGTTAATTCTGTAGAGTTTCTGTTAACTTCTGTTTTGCTGAAAAATCATCTTTCCTTCTTGGTGCTACATGTTAGTATGTGCTGAGCAGTACCAACAGTGGTAGGAGTTAAAAATGTTGGATGTTCCTCAGTGGTCACTGGGAGGGGTTTGTTAGGGAGGTGTTACTGATGCAAAACATAAATGTGTGGCAGCTTATTGCTGATGATCAGATTTCTTAATTAACATGTTATTCACTATTTCACTTTATTTTTCTCTAGAAATCCAGAACTGAAGAAAGAATTGTTTTCCTCTCGCAGTTCTGCTGATCCATGTGTTCTGTTCCTGTTTCCTACTCTGTTGCTGTACTTTGCATGTGGTTATACCTTACACTTTCACTTGTTTGCTTTTCTCCTCTTCTATCCCATTTTCTGCTCCACATTCAAAATGCAGCACTCCTTAAATAGCTTCTCATGTTCTGGCAACTAATTGCTTTCCAAAGAACCAAATCACAATCAGGCTCAAAGCATAAGTTGCATAAAGTTCCAGAAGTTTGGCCTAAGTTACTGTGCTGTTCATAAGTTAAAGCTTGTCCATCTTGTGGCAAGGCAGTCTGAGGTCTGTAAGTACAGTTAGCTTCAGCATGGAATGAGCACGTGCTGCCTGTGCGATGAATGTCAGGGGAGCATTTTTTGTTTTGAATAATTGTATGTGCACATGCTTACACATGATAGCAGTAGATAATCAGTTTGCGTGCAAAGCCTGTGCTCAGACAAAAAAGTGATTTTGTATTCCATAAGGGTGGATCCTCCTCTGGGGTGAGTGATCCTGCCATCTATGAATTTTAAGCCACAGCCACAAATTTAATTTACATCACTTGAGGCACTGTCCTGCTTATGGCCACAGCATGAGCTTTCACATGTAACAGTCCATGTATTGTCATGTGAAACAGTGGTGCTGAACTGATTTGAGCTAAAGATAAATCTACAAGTCAGTATCTCAAACTATTTGTCTTTGTACAGCCCTACAAAAATACTCTTTGTGGCTTCTGCGTTGTGCTTGCTTCTGAGTAAAATATAAAAGTCCTCTGCATCAGATTGAAAGCCTATCTGCCTACCAGGAAGGTATTAAATGAGGGGAAAAAATACAGTTCTTGTTCTGTAACTTTCAATAGCAACTTCAGCAGCTTCAGCTGCAAGGTCATAAAGCATCTGTGTAGCAAAGGCGGTGTTGCAGTGGGGCGGTACTCAGGCAAGGCAGGGCTCTGTGCACAGCCCAGGGACGTGGGACTGGATGTGAGCACTAAAGCAGCGCTGCGTGTGCCATCTGGTGGGGTGCTGAGCATTTAGGCCCTGAAGTGCTTCACGAGAGTGTGTTTCCTATTGAGTGCTAACTGGAGAAGACTTACTTGGCATTCACAAAAAGTGGAACTATTTCCCCCTTTACTACGCACCTCCTCCGTGAAGGAGTTGTGGATTTCCTGAGTTTTGAAAGAGAATCCATTAAACAAATGGGAAAGTGCAGTTTTTAGATCCCACTAATCTGGTTTGAAAACTACAGATTCACTATGCTAAAAGGACATTTCCTATCACATAAGTAGGAGGTAGAATTCCAGGAAAAATTTGTCTTAAAATTCCTCATTTGCTCAACTGACAACTTGCAAATGCCAATATTTTCAGGTATTTTAAGGTATTCTGCCTTCTCTACTTAGAAATAATCTTCATTTATTTATTTCTAATTTTTTAATTGCCTATCTTTATGTGAATAAAATTTCTGGTATATTCAAGAATGATGCATTTATTTATTTTGTTTGCTTTTGTCTGGAGGGATTAGAACATCCCAATCCAGTGTAACTTCCTTCATGAAAGTTGTAGTATTCATAACTTAAATATATTGTAGGTATAAGGAGCTTCATAGTTCAAAATCGTGAACAAATTAATCTTTTGAAGATCCATGGGGCAGTTCTTTTCCAACATCTAAGTTTAACAACTGCATGTCTTCTACCACACCAGGTGTCACAGATGCAGGAAGCTATGGCTTCCAGGTACAGACCATGGGAGTCCCAGCTGGATTAGCTGTTCCAGCCATCCAGAACCAGCCCATTGTGAAGGACGGGACAATCTGGATGCCCGTCCCTCCTCCTCTTCCCAATTGCCCTCCTGGACTGGAGTACCTCACACAGGTACCTGCACCCTTCCTCATTCCCCAGAGACCAGGTATTCACCTGAGAAGCAGCCTGCATCCATGAAAAAAACTAAAAAAAGCATGTGGCTTTGTTGCAGCTGTGTGGGTTGCTGCTTTTGGGCTGCTAAATGAAGCCTTTTGTAATGTGATTGATGCATGTTTGAGTGTGGAGGTGCCTGTTATGGCTGCAAGCACTTCATGGAGTACTATCCTGCCAAGTGAGATGCTGAAGAACTGGGGGCGCAGGGCTATCGTGCATCCTTCCCATTTCTGAAGCTACTGTTTGTGAGATGTAATGTGATTTGGCAAGGTGTATGTAATAAATATATATAATATGGGCAACTCTAGCACATTAGAGGTGCTTAATTTTCTACATGATGCTTCCTTCACACCTCCTGATAATGTTGTTAGGAGAGGTGCTAGTCAGACTTCACAACCCAGAGAATGCTAATAGCAAAATAAGAATTGTTTCCACATTACAGAATATATCCTGGTACTATAAAAGCACAGTTCATCTCATCACTGGGAACAAACACCAAGGCTTAACACTGATGTATTGTTGCTAGTTTTGCAAGTTGCTCAAAAAAAAAAAAAAAGGCACCAGTGAGGAGAGGCTGATTTTTCCTGAGTTTCACTCAGAGCTGAGCAGTAGCTGAGCTTCTGCTCTCAAATTTCTCAGTTTCCTGCTTTTGTTTGTATGGACTCCTGATGTAGGCATCTGGGATATGTGGTGTCAAAGACTGTTGGGCTCTGTAGCTGAGCTACCCTGAATCCTCAAAGGAGCACAGGCACATTAGCCCTGTGTGCTTGTAACCAGACCAGCTTGTGTACCACTTCTGCCATCTCCTCCGGTGCTCTGAAACACTGTTCTGCTAAATTGAGAGAGGGGGATGTGAGCTACTTCCACAGCTTTACCGGTAGATGATCTGCCTCTAGACAATGTATTGATCCATAAATCTGCATTCTGAAACGAAACAGCAATGCTTCTTAAAACTAGATTTCTCGTAGTTACAACTTGTTAACTATTTATTCTGTTTCATTTTTCAACCATGAACAGATTGACCAGATATTAATCCATCAGCAAATTGAACTCCTTGAGAGTAAGTGCAAAGTATTTATAGCAGAGTAATGTTTAAATCTAATAATCCCAAGAATGGTAAAATTTAGACTTCCTTTGACACTATGTATTTAAGGTGTATTGCCACCTTTCTCTTTCTTGCCTTTGTTATATGTCTTGATTCCTGCAGAAGTTGTGGAGGATAGGAAGGAGAACGTAAGAGGGCAGGCGATTTTAAGCAGGTTCTGTATCTTAAAAGATACATAGCAATGCGACTGAATAATGTTGGTAGCTCGTTACAGCTGAAGTCACACATTTCCCATGTTACTCATTCACATGATTTCTACTTGCCGCTCTTCCCTACCTAAAGATCTTTTCTGTCCTCTCTTACTCCATCTAATTGTGTAGACTGGCATGCAGCTCTGATCCCATTTCCAGGCAATCCTGCTGTTTTAGTGAACTGAACTGCTTTCTTTCTGCTCCCCTCAGTCCATTCACTTTAAAAATATCAAAGTCATGTTATCAGCATCTTTCAAATAGAAGAAATAAAATGGACCATCCATCTTGGCTGACACTTAATGCTGCTGCATTTTCTTTCCATAATGCTTCAAAGAGTACTTTCATTTGTTAGAGAAATGAATCAAAATTTCTGTCCTGGCTCTTGTTGTTTTCTATTTGTGCTGCTGTGAATCTTGACTGCGAGGCTTTTTTTGTGACCTTCTCATTCTGAACGTATCTGTGCCCTCTAGAGCCCTTTTCTTGCTTCACCCCCAAATTCACAAGTTTCTTTAATTCTCATCTCTTCAGCTCTTCCCTGGGAATCTTCCATGCTGTGTTATTGATAATTGTGGTGCTTGCTCTGGCAGTATGTGTCCGTGTCTGGTGGGAGGGGACTGGTGGACATCTCCGTGCTCTTTCTGTGTTGCCATGTTCATGGTGGCTCCTCCTCTCTGCGCTTCTCTGTCTGCTTGATGGTCCTTCCCCACTGCTTCCCTTTGCCAGTAGCTGCCCCTGACAGACTCTGAGTGAGGCCTGCCTTCCCAAAAGGTAGCTTTAGAGATAGCATGGTGACTTTTCTGACCAGATGCACCTCAGAAATTTAACAGTTTGGTTCCCGTTTTTCAGTTTTGACTGGCTTTGAAACAAACAACAAATATGAAATCAAGAATACGCTGGGGCAAAGGGTGTACTTTGCAGCAGAGGACACTGACTGCTGTACCAGGAATTGCTGTGGGCCATCACGACCCTTCACTCTCCGGATTATAGACAACCTGGGCCATGAGGTGATAACGCTGCAGAGACCCCTCCGGTGTTCTTCGTGCTGCTTTCCCTGCTGCTTACAGGAGGTGAGTTGCTCCCTCTCACCGTCTCCTTCACGTGGGGCATGGTCTACCTGTGCAGTTTTAAATGGGGTTGTCCTGAACGAGGAGGTGAGGTGAAACAAGTCAGGTTTTGCCTGTGAGTTGTGGGGAGAGAGATCTGTGGGATTTGTGCATGGGGTCCTTGGTCTGGGAAGAAGCAAGTGTGCTGCAACACTTAGATTCACTCTGGCCACTTCTGAGTACAGTAATGAAAAATTTGATTCAACAGCCTATCAGGGAATTTGTGGCTAATGTCGAAATCTGCGCTGGAGATGGACTTGCGATGTAAGAGTTAGGCAATGGCTTTCGTAAAATAACAGCTGGAGTTTTCACTTTACTGCTTTGAAAGCTATAGTGAAATTCAACACATGAGATGATGAGCTTTTTAAATATTAAAATAATTATGGGGTGATGCAACTTCTGAAACCTCAAATCTGAGCCTACTTGGAGCTCTTACTGGGGGATTTGTAGTAGCTGCATCCTGTAATGTCTTCACTGAATGCTTTCAGGATGCTCACAGCCTTTCTTACACTAGACTTTGATCTTTATACTGTAGATGCATAGCTTGTGTGCTCTACAGTCTTAGGAGTATCTTATTGTTTTCAGTGAAGGCAAAAGTTGCATATGAGGTCTGCAATTTGTGTGCAGTTTTCTGAAAACGTTCACAGAAAAAACCCCATGCAGCTTCATGCATTGGAAAGCCAGATTGTTGTGGAAAAATAAGTTGTTTTTTGTTTGTGTGCTAGTGTGAGTTTTGTCTAACAAGCATATCAAAGTATGAATGTTCACGTGGAGGTTTTCTTTTTCCTGTGAAGCTGGAAGTTCAGGCACCTCCAGGAACACCAGTTGGTTACGTTGTCCAGAACTGGCATGCGTGCCTGCCAAAGTTTACCATTCAAGATGAAAAAAGAATGGATATACTGAAAATTACTGGCCCATGTGTTGTCTGCAGCTGTTGTGAGGACATTCATTTCGAGGTATGCAGTGCTAAAAACTGTTTGTGTGTATCTTCTTCCAGATAGTAGTCTGATAGTAGTTTGTTGCTTGACTTACTTCCTGTCAACTGAACTGTAGTATACATTAAGTAATTAGTACATAATCTTTTAATGCTAGTATAATCAACTCACTTCTCTAGACAGCTAGATTACTCTAGATAAGCCAGACAAACTTCCAGAAATGATGTCTTAAAGCCACTCATCAGTGATCAGACTGATTCCCTGTGGTTGCACACAAATGTCTTAATTGAAATATTTAGCAGCAAAATCTTTTTGAATCTATTATGTTAGGTCCTAACAAAAAAATGTTATTCTTGGCTGTATCCAGTATTTATTAAAATGACTCCCTGTAGCCACTCATTTAATCATTTAATAATCATTCAATGAGCAAGTAAATCAAAATAATTTAGACCTAAAATATAGATTTGAATAACTGAAGAGTTACAACTTTCACTTAAAAATAATAGTGATTAATGCATCATTATTTTAATACCCATTAAGTAGTAGATACATACTAGTCTGCCATTTAATATTTAAAATGATGTGGCAAATAGTTGCTGAGGCGAATTTAGTATAATTTTATTTTGGGACTAGTCTTTCATGTGACCCTGAAGACTGGATCTAACTTTAGGAAACATAATGTTGACAAAGGGCTAATCTCTGCTTTGGAACGCAAGAATGTAATTTGTTTCATTTTCACTTGAGGAGTTTCTGATACATGGCAGGAGAAACTAATTCACTCTCTTGGCTAAAAGACAATGCTTCCAGCAGAGTGTGTGTGCGTTCATGTGGCAGCTGTCTTCCAACACCATTAAAGCATTGAACTCCACAGTCAGATTCAGAATTAAGTTCATGTCTGAGCTACTTAAGACTGACTTTCTGATAGTCAGGGTTGCTTTTGGTGCAAACAGTTGCATTCAGTGACTGCACTAATTCAAATAACTCAGTCTGAAGCTTCCAAATGGATCTGTTATGAAAAGGATTTGGGAATATTATGAATGACAGATTTGATGTTGTTTTTTTAATTTTATATTAAACTAGGTGAAGTCTGTGGATGAGACTTCTACTGTTGGGAGGATTTCTAAGCAGTGGACTGGATTTTTGAAAGAAGCCTTTACAGATACAGATAACTTTGGAATCACATTCCCAATCGACCTTGATGTAAAAATGAAAGCTGTCATGATCGGTGCTTGCTTCCTTATCGTAAGTCTGTTATTCAGTAATACTTGAATGTGAACTGACTTTTTCATCTCCATGTTCAAATTGTGCTGGTAAAGGATTTGACTCTGAGCTCCTTGAAGTGGGCGACAGCTTGTTGTGAACTTCCTGTGCGTAAAACTAATCACAGAGGGAAACAAAGAATTATTTCAGATAATAAGCTTATTCTATACTCCGTGAAGTGCTACCTAACTGTATTCAAGGAGAGCTTCATATGTCATGGGACTGAGAAGCCCTGTAAAGGGGAGACTCCTTACAGACACATTAGCAGAGGCAAGCACGTTTATGTGGATGGTGAAACCAGAAAAGTGCAGATCAGTAATAGCCAAGAGACCTATCCAAAGCCGGAGCAGCCCGCTGAACTGGTGACCTGGACAGCTGAATGCTACAGCCAGTTCCTCCCGACCCTCCTTCTTGGAAGTATGTGAAGCACTGAGCTGAGCAGGATTAAATGCTCTCAGAGGAGTCATTTCCAATGGGAGGGACCTCTGTGGAGGCAAAGCACATCTAACTTGATACAGCGCTTTTCAGCTGCACTCTGACTCTGCCGTGTCAAATACTGCAGCGCAGCTCACTTTGCTCTTTGAAAACAGCATGAAACACAGTCGTGTTTCCACTTACCCGTGCAATTCAGCATCAGGTACCATTTCAAAAAGTGCAGTGCTTCTGTGCTGGCAGGGCTGCAGAAGGGGAGGAAAGGGGCATGTGAAACACCTTGAGTTTGGAAAGTTCTCACCAGCCTCTAACAGCCCTGTGCACAAACCAGGTTTTCCTTCGCTGTGTGTGTTTGTGTGCTACCATGTGCATGAAGTACAGCATTAGTGAGTGCAAGTAACCCAGGATTCCAGACATGGAAAATGTAAACAGTAAACTAAAGATAGTCACCATTATGGTGGACTCCAATTTGACGTAAGATTGAAGGGACTGAGTCAGGTTGAACAAAGCCAGGGCAGGAATCCTGAGTAAAGGAAGCATAGCTTTGGCTAGTGATAATTTAAAGTTTCCATGTAGGTCTTTCACCACCTCTTCCTCTCTCTCTGTGGGTGTCCTGAGAGACCCAGGTGATGGGGGATGGAGAGCGGCACCCCTACCTTCTTCTCATCATTTGAGGTTTCCAAGGGAAAGGTGCTTTGAATACCTTGCAAAGCAACCAGGAGATCTCTGAACTAAGAACTGCATTTATTAAGTATTTGTTTTGTTTGCTTTTTGTTTTCTTCTTAGGACTTCATGTTTTTTGAGCATGCTGGTGATAACCAACAGCGAACAGGAGTTTGGCAATGAAATCTAGAACTTTTGTATAGAAGGAAGAAGAACATAAATCTCCCAACTTTCCAGTAGATTGCAGAGCAGTAAGAATGTGAGAAATGTGCATCTTGTGATTGTAGTTATATTTCTATAAACTAAAAGCTTTATGGTCCTTTTTTCTTTTTTTTTTTTGTAATCTGATGAAGTAATTTGTAGTATTCAAATAAGAACCCTTTGTTACAGATAAATACTGTAATTTATAGAAATATATAGCAACCTTTTTTCCCAAGAAATTTTTAATTCTAAAATAACTGCTTATGGTTATTTTAATTCCTACAAAAGAGGACTACTATATTAAATATTAATATAAGCAGTGAGCCTAATAAGTAGGTCCTGATCTTTTCCTGTGTATCCTTCTTTGGGTAGTTTTGCCTTGGTGTTCACATTCTGTTGTTTCCAACTTCTTATTAAATATATACATTCAAACCAAAGTAATCTTAAGTGAACAGAACTATCAGAAATCACTGTAAAATTGTATTAATCTAGTAATAAACCTGCTGTCAAATATGACTCCTTTAGTGTAACTTAGTTTGATAATTTGGGTTGTTGTGAAACTTAAGGCTTTGATTTTCACCAACGGAAGTTTAGATGAGACAGGAAATATAAAAGCCTGTGGCTGCTTCTGTTTAATAATCCTTTAGTAATTGCTTTGTGCATGAGTGTGTTTTTTCCTGAGGCAAGTAAAAACTTGTTACCTACTCTTTAGTTTCTCCAGTCCTCTTTCCTCTTCATTTAGTCCATGGTTTTCACAGACTGTAAGTCTGTCTGTAGGTGTGAGGGTGCAGGAATAATAAACATCCACTTCAGAAGCAGACGCATGAAATGGCAGTTCTATTTCTTAGCATTTATAGTTTTACTTAAATGTGTAAGCAATGGATAAAGTTGCAGTTCCTTACCCCAGCTTCACACAAGCATGTGCATATAGCAGTTCTTGGGATCCAGCTATGGACGGAGGTCCTTACCAATATTTTCACTTGTATTCTAATTCTGCTAAAGATTCCTTTTGTTCAGTATTTTCAATTTATTGGTTGCTCCTGGCCAGTCAAAAAGCAGAGGAAAAGAGGAGTGCCATTGCTGCTATGTACCTGGCCTCTCTTTGATGTTATAAGAGTTGTACAAACTTGTGGCAACAATCTATAGTGTTCTGAAAGTCTTTAAAATTCTGTATTATGCCTTGTTGAAGTTAGCTTCTGCTGCTAGAGACAGAATTCCTTGAATATGGTGTCTTTAATAGTAGGGATTGCTGGAGATGCATTTTTGATTCTTCAGCACTATTCTTAGGGAATTAAATTATTGTTATTTTGAAAATATTTTGTGCTTTATTGACCAGCTATTAATGAGATACCGGAAATTCAGTCTTCCTAAAATCTGCTAAAAGTTTCTGATTGCTTGTTAGAAATAGAAGCTACATGTATAGAAATCAAAGTAACACACACCTGACCCTACAGTCCTGTAGGGATTCATATGGCTAACCCGTCAGTATTATTTTTCCTGCAAGGGGTGACACACAGCTTCAGTTCTGCCTGTAGCTCTGAAGTCCCAGGCTAAAGCACGCTCAGTAGCTGCATGTGCTGGTTTTGACTGGGGTAGAGTTAATTTTCTTCACAGTAGCTAATATGGGACTATCTTTTGGATTTGTGCTGGAAACAGTGATGATAATACAGAGATGTTTTCATTACTGCTGAGCAGTGCTTACACAGAGTCAAGGCCTTTTCTGCCTCTCACCCCACCCCACCAGCGAGTAGGCTCGGGATCCACAAGAAGTTGGGAGAGGACACAGCTGGGACAGCTGACCCCAACTGACCAAAGGGATATTCCATACCATATGACGTCATGCTCAGCATATAAAGCTGGGGGAAGAAGAAGGAAGGGGGTGGATGTTCAGAGTTAACGGCGTTTGTCTTCCCAAGTAACCATTACGTGTGATGGAGCCCTGTTTTCCTGGAGATGGCTGAACACCTGCCTGCTGATGGGAAGTAGTGAATGAATTCCTTGTTTTGCTTTGCTTGCGCACATGGCTTTTGCTTTACTTACTGAACTGTCTTTATCTCAACCCACGACTTTTCGCTTTTACCCTTCCAATTCTCTGCCCCATCCCACTTGGAGGGGAGTTAGTGAGCAGCTTTGTGGTGCTTAGTTGCTGTCTGGGGTTAAACCACGACACACCACTTTCAACAGAGAGCAGAGTTACTCAAATATTCCATAAACATTTTTTTGAGATATTTGAAAATATCTGTTTAATTCCATGGCAGATCCTGCATAGAATTTAAATGTACTTTTTGCATTAGAGTGAGGTTTGTTTGTGGCTGTTTGAAGAATGAATGGAATGATATTTTGCAAGTGGGCAAAACAGTGCTACCTTTGCCTATGCTGAAAAGCAACTTGCATTACAAATTCATCCCCTGACAATAAACTAGGGAGTGTCTGTAAATTTAAATAAGGTATTAGGACCCTGGGCTAATGGGACATAACCAGGCGACTTTATTTTCATTCATCCAAGTAATTAAAAATTTTATGTGAAAATGTTGTGCTTAGGTATTCACTGTAAGTCCTGGAAGCACCACTGTCCCAACAACCTTGCATAGAAAATTATGCAGAAAAATTCACATACATGTCTGTAGAACAGTAAGGGAAGAATGTGAAAATACAGTCAAGAAGGATCAGCTTCACATGAAGGTGTGTAGGAAAAAAACGTTGCAACTTTTGTATCTTAAGCAGAATTGCAGTTGAAAGCAGTAACAATTCTGTAAAGTGTAATCAAAGCAAAGATATCTTTGCTTACCAACAGGTTTCTCAAATACAGTGAAACCCAACAATGAAGATGTGTAAGTTGTGCTGTAGTCACTTTAGATTTTTTGATTTTGTGCTGTTTGAGTCTAGTGGTCAAGTTGCTACATCTTACTCCTTTACCATGTATTTAGTAAAATTATTAAATAAGGTGAAGAACTAGATAGCCCAAGGGAATCAGAATCCAGCGACATAGTAAGGTGTAAGAACTTCAAGCTAAGCCTCTTAGATTTGCCAGAATTGTGGTAAGAACAGGAAGGAAGTTCCAGAAGCTCAGATCATAAATAGGACTGAGAGAGTATTCGACTAGGGGAACTTTCCATCAGTTGGATAACTGGATAGCTGGTTACACAGCTTATAAACTTTTGTCTTGTGAAATGGTTCACAGTCTCTCATGAAGGTAAAAATATTGTATGAGAAGTCCTAACTAAAGCTATCAAGGTAACTCTTTAGTTAAGCAAACAGTATCTTACCACCTTTGTAATCTTTCTCTTTTTCCTAATGATATTTAATTGAAAAATGCTTATTCCTTACATTTTTCAAAAACTTCTGGAGACAGCTGTATTCACTTGCTCATTTCTGAAACTGATTGTGCTAAATGCAGAGTAAATCATTCTTTGAGCTGTCTTTCTTCATTTTGAAAGAACGCATAACAGCATCCATATTTAATAAATCACCACACTGTAGAACTCTTCACTCTTCATCCATCAGACTATAAGCAATACAATTATTTATCCCCCTATCCATAAATCCAGGCTTTGGAAAGCATTAGAAGACTTTCAGCATGTTGCCTGCTATTCAATACCATCTCAGATGGAGCTGTTACATAAAACCTTTACAGAGTGAGATTTGCAGATGGATTTCTCTAGTTCTGTTAATGACCTTTCCATCTGTATCATCCCTGTAAGTTTTTCATCTCCAGCTGTACAGGAGATGCAATCACTTAATGAAACCCTAGGGTCTATACAGCACAGAAAGGCATAATTGATATGATGTTTCTCAGTAGAAAAGCATAGTTAATTCCAGTTTCCAGAAACCAAAATTATTAATTTAAAAAAAAAAAAAGTAATTTACTCCTTCTTTAGTCTTAACCAAGATTGGGTTTTTGCTAATTGAGGAGAGAGAACAATTTTGCCAATCAGACGAGGAGTATTGTTTTAAAGTATATTGTATTACAGCTGGTCTGCTAGCATACTTTAATTCATATGAGCAAAGTTCATGAAAAGGCCTCCTTGGGTCTTTTTGTAGACCCAAGTCTTTTGGGTCTCTTGGGTCTTTTTGTAGACCCAAGGACAGCACTTACATGCCTCATATACCTCATCTTGGTTTTACTAATGAGAATAACTTTGACCAAAAGCTGACAGTGGGAGCAGGGACTGCACAATAAAAAGTGAGTCAGGGAAGGAGAAAGCAACTGGTTTTCCTGAACTGAATTTAGCTCAGTTACTGTAGGTGCAGGGGTAACTCATTGGAAATGCTACAGGTAATGAAGAAAATCAAATCTTTGTTCAAGGGAATGTATTGTAAATTTGCAATTACAAATTACAAATAATTTGTAACAGGAATACTAATGAAATTGATAAATGGTAAAGGTAAAAGGATGATGCAGGGAGGAAGTTGTGGAATCAGAGGAACTTGCACATAAGGGAACCTCTCACAACCAGGACAAGGAAACAGATACAGGTTGCATGGAGGGGAAACCACCACTACACCACAAGATGAAGAAGCCATGTCAAGCAAAAAGCAATCATGTGGTAAGATTAAAATTAAAATTTAGTAAGACAGGAAGCAAAAAAGGTATAAAACGCCCACAGAAAATATCAAGAGGTCAGAGGGAGAGAATAACAAAGAAAAAGCTGCAGCTCTCCCAGCGTGAAGAGCCGAGCTAGTGGAGAATTCTGTTGTGCTGGATCAGCGCTCTGTATGTGCTTTCATGACATACATACTTACAAACACTATGCTTACGTACTGGATCAGATTGCTCTAGGAGTCTAGTAACTCCCTGTTACCACTTACAGCAAGACTTCCATACATTGCTGATGTTGTTCTGGAGACGGTTGATCCTCTGTTCTACAGATATATTTGACATATCACTTGGTTTTGGTTTATTTGCATTTTTTCTCTGATAACACTATGTTATTAAAGACAGCAGTGAGGAGAAAATATACAAGAAAGCATTGCAAAAAATA